CTGAACAAAATATCTGGCACCCAGAACTAGAGGGTAGAAACACCCATTGAGCCAGGAAGCTAATGTTAATTTGCATAGCTGCGTACTATGTGTATATAAATAGTGAATACCAATCAGTAAATGTTTAATACAGAATTTAAACATGAAAAATGTGGTAGTCATTTCCTTTCAATAAAATTATGATTAGAAAAATGTCAGAATAAAAGAACACTTCCATATCAAAAAAGTGTTTCTACATTAGTTTCATCAAATTTCAATTCTTATATGATAGACACTTACTCTTCTTCAATAAAATTACTGAATTAAATGATTTAACCAGAATGTTGGTTCTTTCATCTAGCAAGATTGACAATTCATATTTCAGATGCCTACTAGAAAGAGGGGTCTTTCCTGACCTGCTACCTGATATCATTTTATTGACAATGCTGAGTATTGTACATCTGACCATGCATGCAGTTGGTCACTGAATAAGGCTCCTTTTTTGCCTAACTATTTTTAAAACCCACACCTGCGGTCTTTACCTTGTCGCATAGGAAGGCTGCACTTCATGTGGGTTTCTTCGGTCTGACCAGAAAAAAAGTAATCTGTCAAAGATGGGCTCAACATCCGCTACATAGGACTTGCCCTCTGGGAATATTCGTAGAATCCCCCCATGCAGCTTAAACAGAAAGAAAAGGACAATGTTCATTTTTCGATTACACAGGGTAAATTTGTAAGCAGATCTTAAAATGGCTTACTTTGTATATATGTGCATAAAAAATAAGCCAGGTGGGGAGATTTACTGAGGACCCTCCTGGACATGAGTGGGGAGGATGAAGAACTCATCTGCTGATGAAGCATTCACCACATCCATTGAGGGGAGTGGACTTTTTGTCTCCCTACAATGAAAAAAAATCATGAACCCGATCCCAGGGCTGACATAAATGTGCACCAGTTGGTGGAGGTCCCGAAGGGTCTTTAGATATAATATTGTCCAGACTCTTGCTAAACCACACCTTCTCTGTTCTGCTGTACTGGTGGACATTTTGATTGATGTGCCTGGAGATGTCTAGCACCAATCTAGGTGCACCTCTGCCAACTGAGAAACACAGCTTCCTATGGCCATCAATCAGCCTTCCAGCAGGGGGCCAGTTGCACCATTTGTGAAATCAAAAATATTAATGGGAAAAATGGGTAGTAAATTGGTCAGCTTGAAGCACTGATCATTTCTTTTCCCTGGTGCCATGAATAGAGCTAGGAAACCAGATAAATACATGTAGATGAGTGCATTTTTTAAAAAGAGCAATCATATTTAACAGCATGAAAGTTGTTAAACATAAAGGAAGTAAAAAGTAATTATGGATAATACAAATTCTTTAAAAATGTTTTTTTTTTTTACTTAGCCAAATTCATTTGTTCTATTGTGGTTATTGAATAAGTCTTAAAATGAATCAACTATTAATAGGGGAAAAACAATGCTTTTTTTTAAGACCCTGATTTTGTCTGCTTTTCCATAATAGACCTGTTGTACATTTCCATATAAACTACAACGCACATTTTTTTCTGTGTTTTTGTTATAACAAAAATCTCCCAATCACATCTAGTTGGAAAATTTGGACCACCCCATCCCTAAACTTAGTGTTATATATAATGAGCAAAATGTTTAAAGAAAAAGAATGCTGTATTTTCTGCTGGGAAATCCTGATCCATAACTGTTGGGCTTCAAACCCATATCTGACTCCTTAATCCCATAGTAAAAAACAAGGAGGGGTGGGGAATCAGTGTTTGCTCAGTCTTTTCAGAAGCAGGCACCATAGTATGACTTCATATAAACACCTGTAGGGTGTTCTTCCAATTTATTTAAATTTAAAACATTTAATTTGTTACAGCAATTAAAAATGTGCAGAACCCCTTGAGATCTCATCAGAGAACACTTTATTTAGCCATTTATCATATTAATTTTTTTTACAAAAGGCTGGAAGATTCTTGATCACTATCTAGTGATGGTGGAAGGCACAGTATCCAGAGGTGCTGCACAATCAACCTGTAATCATTATTGTTATTATTTATTAGATTTATATCACTGCTCAAGGAGGCTAACATGGGTATCTCACTTCATTATGTTCCCACAATGTCTGGAAAGTTGGTTGAGAGAGAATGCCTGGCTCCAAGTCACAGTTTCAGGAGTTGAGAGGAGAGTCAAACCTGGGACTCCCCAGGCTTTTCTTTTAAATGATTATTTTTTATTGGAGAATTTTTTTACACAGTAAAAGCAATACAAATTTAAAAAAGGAAAAGGAAAGTAAGAAAAAGTGATAAGTAAGAAATAAGAAAGACAGAAAGGAAAGAAAAAGAAAAGGAAAAAAAGATATCAAGAAGTGGCTTCTGATCTTCTTTACAGCAGTTATAAATAGATTTATATTTTATTCTCTCTATATATAGTTATTATGGTTCCCTTCTTCCCATATTCTACCCTTTCTAATCATCAAATTCATCAGTCACAAGTTCATTTTTTTTCCATTTTCAGCAAAAAGTCCATAAAAGATTTCCAGTCACTAACAAATGTAGTTGTTGTCTTTTCCCTAATCAAATAAGTCAATTTTGCCGTCTCTGGGGCAAGTTCTGTCATCTTCACCAACCATTCCTCCATTGTGGATATTTCGGAATCTTTCCACCTCTCTTTATTTTGTAAAATGTACCAATTATCTCTTTGCTATAATTAAACAATCAACATTCCCACAAAGATATGGTTTCTGTGTTTAATTATCTCAGGTCTATGTCAAAAGCACTTTCGCCAAAATATTAATGTTTCAAATTTAACTGTCCCTTTTATCTGTTTAAAACTTTCTCGGATCAAAATCTTGCTAAGTTTTTTGCTGCTATGTTGAAATTCTTAAAGCTATTGTTTTGCTCTTTTCTTTAATCCAGAGTGAAGGATGACTAAGTGGGGTTTTTTTTCTTCCTGTTGTTCTGAAGATCTCTCTTTAACTTTCACATTGTTATATCCAAATGTGTTTAAGAAAGTGAGGTTTTGGTTGAACCCAGTAGCCTTAAAGGCTCTGCTGAGGCTGTGAGCTAGATTTCTCTCCCTTGTTTCCCAGCTGCTCAACTCACAAGTTGACCGCAGGGATCTTCAAATCCTGTGCTCCTCTCAAGGAGCAGCCATCTGGAGTGCAGGTGGGTGATCTCTCAGTTTCTCCTTGGCTGGTGAGGCTCCACTGGCCTGGACTTGTCGCCTGGCCACTGGTCTGCGCTGCAGCATCATCTGAACTCCCTTAGAGACATCCTAGTTCTCACCTGGAAGCCGGGTCTCCCCAGCTTTAATAGAACACTTTAACGTAACACCACTCTATGCATGCCATGTTGACAATGAGGTTTTGCAGCCAGGTTGTTATTATAATCCAATTTACATCTTTTCTATCCAGGTGACATTTGTGGTCTTTTATGATAAGTAAGCCCCGGCTTACCACCAAATATATATTCAGTAAAGGACTTCAGCCAGTTATGAGTTCTCCCAGTATGCTTGTTACATTGCCATTAATATACAGCGTTTTAAAATATGTAAATAATTGCCTCTATTGTTCAGATGCATCCAAATTATAAGAAATGTCCCTATGACATCTATTCATGTTTGTATATTTTTAAAAGAAAAGGGTAGCATTATTTTTTCTTTTTCACTCTGAGAAAAGTCTAGAGGATCTCACTGTGTCACATTAAAAAATAATGCTCAAGTTTTTCTGGGCATCCAGAAGAGTTGGACGTTGTTTAAAGTGGGCACTTTTCTAGATTCAGGGCTTTGAACAGCTGAAAAAAATGATACTTCTGACAGTTAGCAAAGCTGAAGGCAGAATGTCAACTTGCTTATCCTTAAATATATCACAGCAAACAACCATAAGCTCCATACACGTTAGCAAACACAATCCATTTTATGAGACTAAGGCATGGCAAAGAGAATAAGTTTTCATGATCTTATATGTAAGGGCAAAATCAAACAAATATTCTTTTTCAAAGGCTGTTTTATATGGGACAAAAAAAATAAGAGGACCACAACTGATCCTGCCAATCTTCACTTAAACTGCCTCAGTTGTCACAGTCCATTCACTCCTTTACAGGCACCTACATGTTTTCATCAAACTAAATCCTTTGTTATTTGTATCTTTAAACAGTGACAGTTGTGCCAGCAGCTCAGAAACTCTAAGCTGCCCCCATCTTCAATAAGCAGTCTATCCAATTGAAATTAAAAAATAATACAACCATGAAATGGATTTAGCTTTACATCTCAGCTACCCAGAAGCAATGGTGTTGTATTCAGAAATTCCACAGTACCTCATAAAATATGAAAGAGCAAGAAAACAGCTGCGTGGAGAAGGAGTACTGTTTCTGGAGTAGGTTTCTTTGAGTCTGGATCTCAACATGTGAGGACCTACATACCTTTGAATCCCAGTTCTTGTTCAGGTAATAAATGCAGGTGATACAGCGCCCATCTCCGTTGGGATTGTCCACATGACGCACATAGCCAGTTCCATTCCCAGGATAGCAAGCTATCATAGCCTGGAAGGTGATATAAGAAGAGAAAGAACAGTGCTTAGGGTTTTTTTTCTTAATGTGGTACGTTTTAAAAATTTTCTATTTGCTCTTCAGCAGTAAATCAAAATACAGTTCCAAGCTATCTGTACTATAACTGAATAGTTTCTATAGATGCTGTTGGGTTTAGTCATACATATTATATTCTTCAAAGTAATTCTACTCCTACGGAGCAATGCTTTTAAAGAGGAATGCTCCTACTGAAAATGGAGCAAATCTTCTTTGAGCTGGTTCTCCAGCAAATGTAGGCTGGAAATTAGAAGATGAAATTGAGGAACAGTCAGTGAAGGAATTGTGAAGGCTATGTATAATTTTTTAAATTAAGTTTTTTTACTTTATGTTATTGAATTATTATCAATTTATATGGCTGCCCATCTCACAGCTTAGCAATTCTATTTAAGAATAGTTGTCCACCCCAAGTCTGAAATGAAATGATTAAGATGTGAGTGAGCACAGTGCAAAGGCAAATGGTTGGAATATGATCTTAAGGTCCATTCCATTCCTACTGGACATTACTGAGAAATACATGTAGCAGTGTTGTCCAAACCTGGTCACTTTAAGATGAGTGGACTTCAATTCTGGGAGTTGAAGTCCACTCATCTTAAAGTGGCCAAGTTTGGACAACACTGACATGTAGTATATCTACAACTGTCTCACCTGCATTACAAACATGACTGCCTTTACAAATACATATTTGGATCTGAGTGGAGTAACCTTCTCTATAATAGTTACCTTTCCTGGGCGCTTTTACATTTATTTCAGATATAAATTATTTTGCAGAACAGGGTGCATTTCACCAAAACACCCTGCCCCAATTCTTGAAATGTGTTGATACTACAAATCCTGCAATTGCTAAAACTGACTATTAGTCCCTACACTTTTGTAAAGTATCTGACAAGAGAAAGTAGTACAAGGAAAGTTTTCTGAGCAAGCCTTGGTAAAATGAGTGGTAAACAGAGAGCAGTGTAGCTTTATTTCACTGAACCTGCACAAGACAACTTGTTATTTGAAGAAGTATCCCTAAGGTTGTAGAAGAGTGTGAATACCACTTTTTTCAGGTAGCATAACTCAGGCTTTCCCCCTTATACTCCCATAAACATAATCAAACAATCCATTTTCCACCTCTCAGGTTGTTTATATCTAAAACCTTGAGGAAAGTAAAACTGAGATACTGTATGTAGATCAGTGTTGCTCAACCTCAGCAACTTTAAGATGTGTGGACTTCAACTCCCAGAGTTCCATGCTGGCTGGGGAATTCTGGGAGATGAAGTCCACACATCTTAAAGCTGCTGAGGTTGAGAAACACTGATATAGACATTTCATTCCTTGACTGCATGAGACTGTAAGTACCTTCCTGTCTGGGCTTAAACCACAGAATTAGCCAAACATGTTTCAGAAGTAATTTCTTATTTTAATATTTTCATGCTTGCTAATATAACTATTCTCATTTTGTGGAGTTAATCAGAAGACCAGATATGAAGCTACCCACCTTAAGAACCATAAGAGACTGCTATAGAGGATATTTTGAACTGTGGTGCTGGAGAAGACTCTTAAGAGTC